TGTTCAGATAGATCTTGAGTGAAACGGTGCTTCGGATTTACACTTTTATATTAAAGGCTTTGTTTAAACTTTAAATTCATACCGAAAGTCGAGTTTCGAGTTTGGAGTAGCTATTATTCATTACTTCATTGTTGTTGCGAGAGTTGTAAAGAAAGCTCTCGGCTTTAGCGAAAGGTTGGCAGTGGAAATATTGGAGTTGTTATTTTGTTTTTAAATAAGCGTTATGCCGATGAAATCTGCTGAATATATCAATACGTAATATTCTGCATTTGCCAACATTATAATATTTAGATTTCAAATATTTATATTTGGAACTCGGGGTAACATAAGGTTATAATAACCTGGATTTGCTGAATCTTTCAAAACAGTCAATAATTAGTAATAAAACTAACACATAATATACAAAAAAAAACGACGGGTTGCACTCCGGTAGAAGTGAAAACTTGAATATTAACGTTGTGCATTTTTGATCACATTTAAGCGCACCTAGCGACATCTATTGTAAAAAATGCATTTTCTTCACAAGAAAGTTGCCACATGGACGTTCTAGATAGAGACTTATCATAATACGGTAAAAAAATTGTGTGTGTCAGCTCTGACGCACGACCGGAGTTTACACTCTAAAAACGATTGTCTTTGAACAGACACAAAACAAAATCAAGTCCGAAGAAGTCGGTTACAAGTAGAGATACCTCAGGAATCATGGTTTCGACTATCATAGGTTCCATGCCACACATTTTATCATCTAACATCAGCGATATTCATCATATATTTTATTATGTATTTCTGGAAACACACAATTTCAAAAATATCACACACTAGTCATCATTTTGTAAATATGTATTATAATTCCATCTGTACTGAAAATCACTATTCCAGAGTGCTGGATACTTACCGGCATTTCTCTATATTCTGTTATTTATTTGTTTTCATTGATTTTGCTCCGATTTTATCTATTTTTAGTTTATTTATTTTATTGACATTTGTGACAACTTAATGTTTTTTGTCCGTTGCCATGGCTAAAGGTGAAAGGTGCGCAGATGAGGTTGCGCACAAAAACGTAACGAGGTCATTAATGTCATTCATCGATAGATTTTACTCCTCACATTTTTCTCATACCGGGACCCTTATATGCAAATCGATTCTTAAGGAGTAAACTCCAATAAAATATTACTATGTTTCGTCCAATATATTGAAAGTCAACAACTTTTCCAATTTTATTGTGTGTCATGATGCGATCAGCCTTCCTGTTTAACCTGACGCGAGTTTAACATTTTTTACCCATACAAAAAAAAGTGTACAACGCCGCTAAAGAAGTTTTCACTTCGAAAACCATGACTTTTGTAGTAAATAGAAAGAAGTTGTTGAATAAAAGACGAAACGACTATGACAAAAATAAATGTTAAAATGTGTTAACTTTTGACATACAGTTTTTAGATTTAATTTCTACATCATACATCCTTCACTCCCTGTACATCTGATTTCAATAGTGTAATATCAAATCTTTAGTTATTCATTGATAAGATAAGTGTACAGTTTATGTCCTCGGATGGGTCGCTCCTCGCCCAATGTAGTGTTAATAATGGATTGAGTATCTGTTTCCAGGTAAATCAAGTTAATGACGCGCAAGCTCTAATGGTGTAAGGAATTAATTGAATATCGGTGATCCGTCCATTGAATCTTTAAAAGTGTCGGGTGCTTAGAATAAACCTATCAAATTAAAGTTGGCTGTGTTTTAGTAAATGATTCCGTAACTTAATACAATGTTAATTGGTAAATCGAGCAAAACATGTCAAAATATTTACGTTACAAAAGATACAGTCTGACAGACGGACGGATAAACAACGAAGGTTTAGTAATAGGGTTACGTCGTTACTCAAAGGGTGCACAAAAGCTTCAAATACTTAAATTACGAAATATCATTTATAAGAAAATGCGCATTAGTTGCCTTAGAGAAATTGTATCCGTTGTGAGGATCAACTGAAATTGGATTTATTATCAAAAAATATTTTCTCAGTTTCATTGCTGCAAAAGATATAAATGGATAATATGTGTAGTGAGTTTAACAGGCGTAAGTCCTTGTAGCTATTTTTGGAGCCACCAGTCCGTGCGACACTCCACAGGGGTTTGTTTTTTCTATATATTACGTTTCAGATGTTTACATTATGTATTAAACGTTAGATAATAAATAAAATAAATAAATATTTCCTTTACTCACATCAATTAGCCTAGCCCAAAAGTAAGCACTGTAAGGTTTGTGTTATGGGATGCTAGGGTAACTTATAGAATACATATACTGATACATAGGCAAGTTTGTTTTGTCGAGTAGGCGACATTTAAAAACTAGACGTACATACACTCGCAGCACATTAAACAAACGTTTTGTATATCTCAGCCAAAGTTGACACGTATAAAACGTTTGGCAGTACGCTTTAAACAACATTATCTTGACGTCTCTCGAATATCGCCGAACCGCCTTGCGAGCATATTGCACCTCACCGCAAGAGCCCTTTCTCCCTCTCCATGTCGTCCTCATCGTTGAGCTGTCCATTCAATATATGACCTAGATATCTAAACCTCATTACAACTCGAATTCACGAATCATACAGCCACACCGGTGGAACGTTTACCGGACCCTTTCCGTTCCGAAAAACAACGACTTCAGTTTTAGCAACATTGCATTTCAATCCAAGTTCCCCTGCATAGGACTCACATATTGAAAGAAGCTTTCGAAGTCCATTAATCGAGGGACTTGGAAGGACCATATCGTCGGTGTAGCTCAGGTTGTTAACACGTTCGTTACCAATATGGCAGCCAACCCTGGCTCCTCTCTCGATCAATCCATTGACGTACAGATTAAAAAGGTCCGGTGACATCAATCCTCCTTGACGAACACCGCACCTAATCTAAACTTATTAGATGTTGCGTCGCCCCATCTTACAATGTCAGTTTGGTTTTCATACCAGTGTCTCAACAGGATCACAACAGTGGGTGACACCGTGGTCTCTGTCACTTTATGCCAGAGTTATTTATAATTAACAAGATCGAAAGCGCAACTGAGATCTAGAAAACACGCATAGACTGTAGTTTCTCTCTTGTTATAATAACTGACAGTGTGCTTAAGCGCTAATATGGCAGAATCAGTTGAGACACCCCTACGAAAACCAAACTGTGCGTCATTTAGTTCAATGTTGTTCACCAATTCGGGCTGCAACATTGTCTCAAATATCTTACAAACTTTTTATTATACATAACGAAAACAGACGGTAATTATTAGGTCTGGATAAATCGCCTGTTCTATTCTTGGGGACAGGGACCACCACAGTTTTCATTAGATCAGCAGGAACGTATATTTAGTACACATATTAAACAAATCGGCTATCATCCTGAAAACTTCCGTGCTGGCATTAAGGATATGTTCTATGCTCAGACGATCATACCCCGTTGATTTTCCGTGTTTCATGCTACAAACTATATGGAAAACCTCATCAGGAGTAACTATGACTGGTCGACCCTGGGAAGGAATATACCTCATATATGGTGGTTGTTTTCCATTCTCCCCAACATCCAAAGGCTCGACTCTAAAATGTTTTGTAAACAAGTTTGCAATGTCCGTCTTGTCATTGGTATCATTTATACTACTAGCTGGTAAAACATTTTTACCTTTTGCCGCTTTCACACCATTCCAAAACTTAATAAAGTTGTTTGAGGCTTTACTATTTGCCAGTATATTCATTTTTATTATATTTTCATTATTCTGTGCCCATTTTAATTTGTTTTTAAATAATTTTCTACTTTGCGTCATATTATTTTAGTCAATACCATAACTCGGTTTTCCTAGTTCTATCTACTGTTTAAAATATTGCCTAGCTATTTTATGACTTCCACTAACGTGAAAGTTCCATCCCAAAAGTTTACGATCCTTTTTTCTGGAATCGTTTAGAAAATGATAGCTTGAAATTGCAGCTTTTTGTAAAACTGATATAAAAGTATTGTACAAAGAATCAATTTCCCTATAATGATATATTATATTAGTGCATTTATTATCATGAGATATATTATTAAAGTTGAGGGCTAACCATGGTCACGAGTTTGAAAATATCAATACCAATAGGCTAGTTGGTTGACCCATGTCAAATTGCACTAAACAAATGTTTATTTCCCAAGATTTTTGGTATGGAGAACTTAAATAAATCAATTTCACTTCATAAAATTAGAAGATGGCTGTAGCAATTCCAACACGTTTTCTCAAAAAATACATTTACGGAGGTTGTATACATTGTTCGAAAGTTCAAAATTGCGTTTTGCTCTGTTGTATGGCCCGTAAAAAACCCCTACTATCCAGCTATCAACACAATATTGTTGTCAAAGAGCTCTATATTAATATACCGATAACTCATCATCACTTATATACTTGATGCTCCTGGGAAATGCATGCGTGTTCTATGCAAATTTTATTACCGTACACTTGTTTGCGAAAGGACTTTATTCATAATGAACAATGTTGTTTTGAGTTTTATACTGAAGTACTCTCTCTATCTATGGCTTTTATCAAGGTCCACGTGATGTTCAAAATACCGGTCAAATGCGAGTCGTACCCGAAGGTTTCCATACCATTATGTTATTATATCGAGTGAAAAAATCGTCACGTTTGTTGTATGGGAGCCCCCTTTAAATATTTATTTTATTCTGTTCATGAGATAATCTGGACATCTTTAAGGCTAGAGTGAACAGGCATCTTCTAGACAGGCGTGTACCATCTAAGGCCTCATCATCGCTTTCTATCAGGCGAGATTGTGGTCAAACGCCTTGCCTATTAAGCATTAAAAAAAAAGATACAGCCTGGTGACAGATAGATAGATGGACAGTGGAATCTTAGTAATAGGGTAAGGCGCCTTAGTAAAAGCGTTAAAAAAATGGCTTCAATAAAATGAAATCCTCGTCTTAAATCTCATGAATACTAATTGTCTGCAATATTGAATGATTCTTTCTTTTCACAGAAAGAACAGTACCCTTGGGAAGAACCTTGGAAGCCGCTCACTGCTTCGGAGGCTTTCATGGAAGAGGACAGGAAAAGAGCCGTGCGCACAGGTAACATAAACTCATCACTTATCATCATCAGTCTATTAATGTTCCCACTTCTCGGGTAAAGGTTCCTATGGATGGAAAAGTGACTGGGCTATGACCTACCACCAGTATGGATTATTTGCAGTCCCGAGTGCAGCCGGAACTAAGTGTTTAGGCTATTTGACCACCGCAGCCGTCACCGAACCGTCACCAAGAATGAGATTATTTCTGTATGAGATCAAGATGATGGGCTGGCGGTGGAGAAGCGGCGAAGCGGCTATAGTGTAATGTGTGTGTCGTTGTGTTATTCACGCAATTCATACTAATGCAATAAGGCGTCATAACAGGTTTTTTTTTTGAGTGTGTATGCTGTTGGTCGCAGATGAACTTTACAGCGTCACCGGGTTTGGGGACGGCGAGATCCTAAGGGGACCTCAAGCCGAGAATTGGCGAGTGCCTCTGGAGGTATTCCAGTCGGATGGCGTCTCCCCACGGGGGGAGTCTCCTCTCCGTCTGGAGCGTCCAGACCACTCGAACCTGAGGGGGTCGGCTCAACTAGAGGGCGTCTCTGAGACTCGGACCTCGGCTCTAGTTAGCCGTTGTCGTGGGGTCATAACAGGCCTTAGCGTGTTCTTGGAAGCAAGGAGGGCTGTTTGGCCCTATCAAGCACAGTCTCGGATAAAATCTCGTTTCTTGTATTGGATTCTATTTTGAATTGAACTCCATTTTATTTTGTAATATGTCATTAAACCTATTTAATGCCATTTTGCCATTAATCAACGGTTTAGCTTCGTATTATTCTAGTTGGCCATCGTATTGCATGCTGCATTTCGCCATCGTACATCGCGACAAAAATTTCATCCTCATCATCTTGATGCGTGGCTATCCACAACCGTGCGTTTTTGTCGAAATTTTTTACCACGTACGACAAAACTGTGGAATATATTGTCGCCAGCAGTGTTTCCGGACCAATACGACCCAAAAACCTTCAAAAAAAGAGCGTACTTCTTCTTTAAAGGCCAGCATCGCATTTGTGATACTCCTGGTGTTGCAAGTGTCCATGGGCGACGGTGATCACTTACCATCAGGTGAGCCGTCTGCTCGTATGCCACCTATAGCATAAAAAAAAAGTTCGGACCAATAGTGGAAACTTATCAATAGGGTTCCATTACCATTTTTACTGCCTGTTACTCTAAAAGTAACCATGAAAATAAAAAAATAAACAACCCGAATTCTTTCTAAAAAATATTATAGGTTTTTTGCGTGGCAAAATTCTTCTTTGTCGGTATCACTCTTGACAGAGTGGTCGTGGTCATCAATTCAGGTGTTGGTGGCAAGCTTCACAACACGCCGCCACTCATCTCTGATGGCCGCCTTCCTTGTGCATTCGTGTAATGATGATGAGCCATTTACTGCAGCCTTTATTTGGTCAGTCCACCTCATAGGAGATCTTCCTCTTGACCTGGTACCCTCAACCTTTCCCTGGACCACAAGTCGCTCAATAGACACCTCCCCTCGGCGGCATACGTGACCAAAAAAAGTGAGGATACGAGACTGCACCACAGACGATAAACGCTGCTTGATGCCGAGTTCTCGAAGTATAGACTCATTGGTACGGAATTCAGTCCACGATACTCCGAGCATTTTTCTCCAGCACCACATCTCTAGGGCGTCTATCTTCTTCTTCTCTACTTTGCGCAAGGTCCACGTTTCTGAGGCGTACAAGAATATGGGGAATACAAGTGTCCGAACCAGCTGGATTTTCGTGGCTCTGTATATGCTGCGATGCCTCCATATATACCTAGATATTGCCATACGCCTCTTCACTTCGTCGATACATCCCCCGTTGTTCGTGATTAAAGCTCCTAGATAAATGTATGATTGCACCACATCACACGCGTGACAAAATAACTACACCAAATTGTAGTTTCATCCGTGAAATATGAGATTCGCCAGGCATCAGTCAGTGTTCCAATTTGCCGTCGTCTTTTTCTTCAACGTGCGGCCGGTCCCAGAATGCTCAGTTCTCCCGGTTAGGGCGCGATTCCATTGACAGCTTTAAACTAGTAGCTATTTTTTTGCGAAATTGAATTGCAAAACTGAAGTTTGATTTGCACTGTAACATAAAAATAAGCAATATCTATATAAATAAAACTAGTTTTTTACAGGTTAATACACGAAACTTTATTTATTTATTGACGTTTCTGACTGAGCAACGATTCATTCTTAGAATGATACGCGAGGCTATTGAGATTAAAAAATATCCAAATTTCAATAGGGAAGATGGTTGGTATATGATGATCCGGATACTTTGTACAAAAATCTTTTTAATTTAATGAATAATGAATTTCAAAATACGTTCAGAATGAAAACCATTAAATGTACACAGAAGTTGCAGTTCTGTGACTGGGCGACAAGTGGTATATATAAGAGTAGAACAAGGCTGTATGAGCTTTATAGAATCAAAGAATATAACCAGGATCCTGAGTTTATTAACTATGTTAGAAAATATTCCAAATTGTTTAAAAGCATATGTAATACTGCAAAGTCCAATTTTATTAGGGATAAAATTAAAAAATCTAGTAATAAAATAAAGACCACTTGGGATATCATTAAGCGCGAAAGTGGCAAGTGTAAGCCTCGTGAAAATAGCATGGTTCTTAAAATCAATAATAATCTCGTAAAATCGAAACATGAAGTCGCAGATATTTTCGATATTTTTTTTATGAATATTCCATTAGAAACTACTTCCAACTTGGACTCATCGTCTGATACTGCTACAGCTCTGTTACAAAAATATGTACCTCCGTGTGGTTTATTATTTAATTTCAAGCACGTTAGTTCTTTTAAAATAATTAAAGTTTTCCATTCATTAAAAATGAAAAATGCATCTGATTTATGGGGTATATCTGTCAAAGTCATAAATAATATTATACATTCTATAGCCCCTTACCTAGCTGATATTTTTAATTCATGTATAGATCAGGGAGTATTCCCTGATCTTATGAAATTCAGTAAAATCATACCTTTATTTAAGTCTGGAAATTGTAAAGATCCTAGCAACTATAGGCCAATATCTATATTACCAGCATTGAGTAAAATCTTTGAAAAAATAATGTTAGAACAATTGTTGACTCATTTTAACATTAATAAACTTTTACACAGAGCGCAGTACGGTTTCACTAAAAACCGTTCCACGACTGATGCTGGGGCCACTATGCTAAAATATATATTTAATGCTTGGGAAAAGTCGCAGAATGCTCTTGGGGTTTTCTGCGATTTATCTAAAGCGTTTGATTGCGTTAATCATCAAACTTTGTTACGGAAATTAAATCATTACGGCATAAAAGATTCCGCACAAAAATTAGTGCAATCATATTTAACAGAAAGGACACAAATAGTTGATATTAACGGTACAAAATCAGCCTGATCTCATGTGAAAATAGGCGTTCCTCAGGGTTCAATTTTAGGTCCATTTCTTTTTTTAATTTACATTAATGATTTACCTTTCTTTGTAGAAAATTTTTGTGAAATTGTTTTGTTTGCAGGTGACACCTCGCTAATTTTTAACGTTGACAGGTGTAAAACAAATTATGACGATGTAAACAATGCACTTTCCAAGGTACTTCACTGGTTCTCTTCTAATAATCTTAAACTGAATGCGAGCAAAACTAAATGTGTGAAATTTACTTTGCCGAATGTAAAGCATGTTGAAATGGGGGATATAATTCTAAATGGTGAAAAACTAATTTTAGTCGATACAACCGTTTTCTTAGGCGTAACACTAGACCACAAACTTCAATGGAACCCTCACATTACAACACTAGCCGGTAAACCAAGTTCTGCTGCTTATGCAATTTATAAAATAAGACGGCTTACAGATGTCGACACTGCTAGGACAATATACTTCAGCTACTTTCACAGCATTATGTCGTATGGCATTCTATTATGGGGCACGGCCGCAGACATTGAAACAGTTTTTATTCTTCAAAAACGAGCTATAAGAGCTATTTACCGCTTGGGATCTCGAACTTCTCTTAGGGATAAATTTAAAGAAATAGGTATAATGACTGTTGCCTCTCAATACATTTACAATTGTATATTGTTTGTGCGTCAGAACATAAATTTATATACGAGGCGCGATGATGTACATAATTTCAATACCAGAAATAAAGATAAACTCAAATTGCCACCATTGAGACTCCAAAAGGTTCTTGGTTCATTTGTGGGTCAAGGTATATGTTACTATAATAAAATACCAAAAGAAATAATTAATTTACCTTTTAATAAGTTTAAAGTGTGTATAAAAACATGTCTCCTTTAGAAAGGTTACTATACTGTAAAAGATTTCATAAATGATAAGTCACCTTGGGCTTAACATAATAGACTGTCTTTTTACTTTGCTAATTTGGTTGAAAATTGTTTAATCGCCACTTCTAAATTTAAAAATAGTACCTAGTTATACTTAACTTTTGTTAATTAATAATATTAATGTGATGGAAGTTGACATCAACACATGTATTCAATTTTTGATGTCATCTTTCAATTGACGACACTGTGTGAAACAAAACAGGGAGAAAAAAATAGCCCTTGCTGAGTTTCTTGCCGGTTCTTCTCAGTACAAGGTCTCCCGCCGTAGATTTACGAACCGATGGCGTAGCGTTTGACTTTCACAAGAGCTTGTAACAGCCTAGACTGAATAAATGAGTTTGAATTTGAATTTGAATTTACCACCAGCTTGGGAACCCATAATACAGGAGATAAAATCCCAACCCCGAGCACACCGTGCAAGACCAACAGATACTATTAGTTCTTTTTGTTTACATAATTTAACATAAGAAGGAGATAGAAAGCCTCTCTTGAGTTTGTTTCGCCGCTTCTTCTCAGAAAGGTCTTCCAATTTTGGAACCGGTGGTAGTTTACGGTAGTTAGGGTCAAATAAATAAACTCAAAATTACAAAAAAGAATTTTAAATAAAATACTTTACTAACTAAATTAAGTAATAAATTCATACATAGACAATA